CTCTTGGCCATTTCCCTTCCCAAGAAGGACCATGTCAGTCAATCCAGCCTGTCACAATATTCACTCGCCATATCAGTTTGTTTGGCTTAAAGTTAGTTTTTCTGATTCCATATTAAAAATGGATCTTTTTATGTCAGATTCTGGGTCACTAATCTTAGTGTCTTTGTTAGAGTGTCCTGGACCATTGTATAAGAGCTTTTTCTGTACTATTATTCTATTCTGTTCTATTATTCCAACTATTCTAGGGCCAGTGCTACACAGCTGATAGCTGATTGGGTAGATATTATGTATGTATAACTCTACATTTTAAGAACATGTTTGACACTTTCATACAATATTCTCTCATGTTCACTTTAGACATTTTTTTTCTAATTCCAAAAACAAATCTTATGGGAATTTTGATAGTTTTACATATATGCAAAATAAACGTAATATATCTACTGGACAGCCAATATATGTATTACTTCTATATATATTTATGTTTTATATATAAATATACATGTTACATATATAAATATATATATAATTAGATAAGAGATAACTAAAGCACCCTTATGATATTGAAACTTCCTATCTAGGAACATGAAGTTTCTCATTTATCCAAGTCTTCATTTATTATTCTCAAGAAAATGTTGGCATTTTCTTCAGATAGAAGATACAAGAGGGTTTTTGCTTTGTTTCCTTGTTTGGGTATTTTTGGGGGGGTGTCTGGTTTCTTATCAATTGCAGAACAACTTTCTGATTTCCTACTTAGAAGCATTGCTTCCTCTCCTGTTCCTGATACCTGTCTGACCTCTGCCCCATCACAGCTCACTCACTCCTTCTAGATGCTGTCCCCTTCAAGAAGGGCATTTACATTTTCTAACCTTCACAAGGACCACTCTTCTCTGACCTCTGCTTTATATCCCCTTCCCATCAATGACCAGTTTGCTTATTTTCAAATTTTAAATCATGGGCAAACTGTGGCTTACTGGCCAAAGAAATGCACTAAGCAAAAGTGCCTCTTTTTTCTTTCTTTTTTTTTTTTTTTTTTTTTTGAGATGGTGTCTCCATCTGTCACCAGGCGTGTGTGTGATGTCTGCTCACTACAACCTCCACCTCCCGGGTTCAAGTGATTCTCCTGCCTCAGCCTCCCGAGTAGCTGGGACTATAGGCACATGCCACCACACCCAGCTAATTTTTGTATTTTTAGTAGAGACGGTTTCGCCAAGTTGGCCAGAATGGTCTCAATCTCTTGACCTTGTGATCTGCCCACCTCGGCCTCCCAAAGTGCTGGGATTACAGGCTTGAGCCACTGTGCCTGGCCAGAAAAGTTCCTTTTAGCAAGAGTAGGATGGATGGGTTAGGGAGAGAAGAGACCGGAAGCAGGAGGCGAGTGCTGGGCTGCTCTGAGAAGTGGGGTTCTGGGTGGTCAGGCCCAGGGTGGAGAGGTGGGAATGGAGAAGGACGGATGGTGATGAGACGCTTTGGGAAGGAAGAGTGGACGATAGTTGCTCTGTCATAGGACCATGTGGAGGACCTAGTGACGTTCACTATTGCTGATTTGAGGCTTTGACTCAGAAGGACAATTCAAATGGATCAGAATAGATGACGGCCAATCCTTGGACATGGACGTGGGCACAGAGAGCTCTGGCTTGTTCTTGTAAGTGCTGCTTTAGATTACTGTCAGAGGGAAGGAGAGAGTTGGACAGCCCTACCCAACCCACTCCGTCATCTCAGGCAGTACTAACCAGATGACACGTGAGTGTTTAGTAGCATCTGGTGGAGGTTTATTGTGATTATAAAGAACAGCACTTAAAAGTACCTTTTTGCTAAAATCTAGAGTTTGCATAATTCCATTTCAGGTATTTCTTTAATACTTATTCTTTCCTTCATGATATGGGTGGAAGTGCTCTGCAAATGTGCAGAATCTTCTGTGGGGACAGCTCTCCCATGATCTCGGGGTGCTCAGTGGCTCACCCCTCCCTGACTTACAGGGGTGTGTGTGGGCATGTGTGTTGCTGTAAGTTGAGCTCTACTGAGAATGGGGCCAAGGGCTTGTCAGGCTCAGGGCTGCCACGTAGGTCTGTGTAAATTGCTTGCTACACGTGGACACTGGCTGCCAGGGATGAGGCTGGAATCTGAGTAGTGCTTCTCTCCCAAGCTGTTTGCCATGGGACTGAGTCTCAGGGTGATGGCAAGGGGCTTCATTTTGCATAAAGCCTCTGGGTGAGCTGGCTGGGCCTGCTCTGGCATCTCTCCAGGCTCCTAGAGTGATGGGGACTGTGTGGATGAGGGGTTAAGGGCTACTGGTTCCCAGGGAATCCCTGCTGCCATCCTGTGCTCACGAGACATCTGCCACTGTGTCTCCAGACCCATATCTCCATTCTAGGCAGGAAGAAGGGGGAAGAGCAGAAGGCATGGCCCACCAGGTCTGTTACTTTTTAATCAGGAAAACAAAAGCCAGAACCAAGTCACGGGGCCAGCTTCAGTCGCAGAGGGTCCAGGGAGGGAATTGATTTAATGGACAAATATGTCTGAAAAAAATCAGCCTGAAAAAAACCAGAGTCCTGTTACTGAGTAGGGAAGAGGCATGGATTTGGGGTAGATGCCCAGCAGTGCCCGGAGAAACAGGCCTCCAGCACCAGTGTTGGCATTGCTAGTTGTAACATCCTTCTTTGTTGTCTATATTCAACATTTTGTCAAACTTTTCTCATTCCTTTAGCATTCCACACACAACATAAAATTAGATTTAAAAGCTAAATTGAGAATTTCCGGGGACTCCGGATAAGTTTCTTAGGTTAACTATGTAGAACAGAACACTTTCCCTGAGGAGTGGGGAGGCATGTATATATGCCACGTGTCCCTGGGAGCCCAGTGTTCAAAGCTGACAACCCTACCCACAGGAATTGCCCCTCCTGGTCACCAGGACCCAAAGCAGCTGGGATGTTTTCAGTAGTTGTTGTTGGTTTTTTGTATTGTGTTTTTGTTATGAAGAAGTTTGAGTTTATTCCCAACTGCATATTTAAGGATCTAAAATAGAAATTTAGCAACTAAGTCTGGAAGGTTCCAGGAGGACTTAAGTTGGACTTGAGCCTGTTTCTCCTCGATGCCTCACGGTCCCTGGGGCTATAGCAGACCAGCTTCTCTAGCTGGCTTGACTGCTCCCAGGCCCAGCCAGGGTCCCTGCTTTAGAGAACAAGGTGAGGCTTCAGTGTAGGAGATTGGATGATGAGTGGCAGTCAGTTGCTCAGTGGGAACCTGCCTGCACAGTGCAGTCGGAGCCGCTTGGCTGGGTCAGCAGGTCCTCTGGGATGTGGCCCCATCAAACTTCCAGCCTCATCCCTGGCAGTTTTTAACAATCTAGACAAAGCCACTTCTTATCTCCTGAAGGTCTTCTCTCCCCAGACTAGATCCTAGACATTCTTTAGGGCCTAGTCCAAGGGTCAGCCCTTCCAGATCCTGAGCCCCTCCACCACCAGGTGAGTTACAGTTGCTGCTGTTGAGCTCCCTCAACAACAGAGGGTGCAGCACACCCCATTACTGTGCTGAATGTGTCTTCAGGAGAGCCACAGTGCCTCATTCATCTTTGTTACTCTAGACTTGTTACATGAATCAAAATAGCCATCCTCCCAGGTGTGTTTGCCTCAAGGGAAACCTGAGCAAAAGCAGGGAGCTTGTGGAGCCAAGTCTTCTCCCACCTGCCCCCCAGTGCCACCTGCACCCAACTTCCTGAGAGCTGAAGAGGAAAGCTGGGGGCCTTGTGGTCACAGCTCTGGCCAGTGACAGGGTTGACTCATCACCCCACACACACTGTCTTAGTTCGCTAAGGCTGCCATAATAAAATACCACCCACAGGTGACCTAAAGAGCAGAAATTTATTTCCTACAGTTCTGGAGGCTGGGAACTCCAGATCAAGGTACTGGCCAGTTAGGTTTCTAGTGAGGGTGCTTTTCTTGGCTTGTAAGCAGCCATTTCTTGCTGTGTCTTCAAGTAGCAGAGGGAGAGAACTAGTAGCACTCTGGTCTTTTCTTATAATGACACCAGTCCCATCGTGAGGATCTCACCCTCGTGACCTCGTCTAAACCTAAGTAGCTCCAAAGGCCCTACCTCCAAATATCATCACTTTGCGTGTTAGAGCTTCAACTTAGGAATTTTGCGGGGACGTAAACATTTGGCTCATAACACCCGCTTGCCAAGCTCCCATCGTGTCTAATTTTGGGCTGGCTGCAGAGATGAGTGAAGCCTAGGACCTGCCTCTGAGGACCACGCAGGCCAGCTGGGAAGCCACACATACAAGGACTTTGAGAATGCCAGGACACTTCTTATTCCCTGCTCCCCTCCTAGGCCTCTAAGCCGGTTTGTCCCCTATTCATCCTCACCAGTGCGTGCCCTTTCCTTTCTTTTCTTTGGAAGGCCCCTCTTCATTCATCCACCAGGCAGCTGCACAGAGGCCTAAGTTCACAGGAAAGGTGGAGGTGCTCTGGTATAAGGGACATGGAATGTTTGAATGACAAGGTGAGGGCTTTGAGACAGTATAGCTGTAGATCTGGAGGGGCTGACAGGCCAGTGGTGCTGTATTCTCCTTGTTAATCCTCTTCTCAGCGTGTAAATCAGCTGTCTCTGGGCACACACCGTATGTATGAAGGCCAACCAAGACATTCTGACACCTCGAAGCCCACAAGAAAGGAACTCTGAAAGGTTTTAATATTATTTTCACTGCTTCTATGGAAAAACAGATTTTTTTTTCCTTGCAAAATATCACACTTTCCCAATTGAAGGAAAATCCATTTTATTTTTGTATGTGTCTGACTCTTGAAGTTCTGTTGCTGACCCAGGCTTGGCAGCTTCTCAGAACTAATCCCTGATCCTTTCTGTGCTGAACAGTAGCCAGTCCTTTGAGCCGAACTGGGGCCATTTGTTTTCATCTCTAAATAAGTAGTGAGTGCTTTTAATAATGAAATGCAGAAAGGACCCAAGATGGTGCATTAATCTTGGATTCTCCTTTTTTTATCACTAAGAAAACTGCTGCAGATGGAAAAAGGCAAGAAATCATTGTTCTGGATTCCAAGAGGAGTAACGCCATCAATATTGGTCTGACGGTGCTGCCTCCTCCAAGGACGATTAAGATCGCCATTTTGAATTTTGATGAGTATGCCTTAAACAAAGAAGGAATCGAGGTGAGGGAAGCTCTATTAAGCATTATTTGTATTTTATCATATACTGCACGTATAATATGCTGCATGTCTACATTTCAAAAGATGCGCCTTTCTGTGCTCAGCTAGACTGTGAATAAGATTAATCATTCTTACATGTGTTAAATTTTTTGAGGGGAGGGGAAGTCTCACTTTGCCTATGAAGTTCAGCAGTCTTCACTCAGGTTTATTTACCAGTCTCCCTCTGACCACACTCTGCCTACCTCAGAATGGAAGAAGAGTAGATAAACTCCTTGGGAGGCCACTAGGGTTTTTTTTCCCCACGTCATTTTGAACCACATCACATTTAACACTTTCAGAGGTAGGGTTTTCAGAACATGCGCACATCCATGTAAGAGCTTTATCTCTTGGCATTTGTTGGGGTTCAGAGAGACGTGTTTCATTCGATAAGCCAGAGAGCTCAAGCCATCTGAAGCTTTAGCATTTGTTGATCTGAACGTCACACAGTGGAGCGACCTTGGGTGGTGTGGCTGTGGCCACACAGCTGGAGCTGGAGACAGGGTTCGCCTGTGGAGCCTGGGTTTGTGTTCTTCCACAGGCCATGCTCTCCCTCCACTGTGGGTTGCTGCCAGTTTAGCAGGTTAAATCTGTTATTATAAAAAAAAGACTGAGCAGAGCCGATGTGTCCCACCCACCAATTGCTACAGAAGGGTGTTATAGTTTGGGGGCCCACTGGGTCAGAGTGGGGATCTGGGGACACTGCTTTGTGGCATTGGGTGGCACCTAACCCATCCTCCTATTGGCAGGGAGCCCTAGACTCCTTTAAAGCCTCTCTGTGACTGGGGTTCATCTTCTTGTTTGAGACACTTGGGCATGGATGGAACCTATGATGCCTGACTCCAGAGAGGGAGAGCAAGCCTTCTACAGAAAAGTTGAGAGTGAGGAAGGGCCTGGGCCTCTGGCCAGAATCACCCATGGCCCTGGGAATGGGAGGGAGCAGTGGGCACACAGTACGCAGAGGGGTCTGCACCCAGCCCACTGGGCATGCCTTCATGCTTTGGAAGGAAGGGACCTTCACAGAAAAAGCCATTACTAGAGGCCTGAACTGTAGGCTCTAGTAAGTGGACCCCCAAATTCATGCCCACCCAGGATGTGACCTTATTTGGAAAAAGGGTCTTGTACATGTAATCAAGTTAAGATGAGGTCATACTGGATTCAGGTGGGCTCTCAATCTAGTGACTGGTATCCTTATAAGAAGAGGGAAGTTTGAATACAGAGAGGAAAGTGCTATTTGAAGACAGAGAACACACAGAGAGATACACAGAATGCCTTGTGATGACAGAAATGGAAATTACAGTGATGTCTTTAAAAGCCAAAGAATACCAAGGATCGTGGACAACCACCAGCACTGAAAAAAAGCAAAGTTCATCCCCTGGGGCCTTCAGAGACAGTATGGTCTCTGACACCTTGATTTTGGACTTCCAGATTCTAGAACTGTGGGAGAATATATTTCTGTTGTTTAAGCCACCCAGTTTGTGATATTTTATTATGGCACCCCTAGAAAACCTATATAAGGCCCAAGCAGCTCTACTCTGAGAAACATACACTCCCTTTTCCAGGAACAAGTACAATAAGGGAAATGCACTTCTTTCCTGGCAGAAGAAGTTGTGCCCTGAGCTCTGGAGCCAGGCCAGGCAGCAAAGCCGGTCAGCATATCCAGGTGTGTTCTCTGTCTTCAAACAGCATTCTCCTCTGTGTTCAAACTTCCTTCTTCTTATAAGGATACCAGTCATTGGATTTAGGGCCCACTTGAATCCAGGAATCCGGCCTATGGAGAGAGTGAGGGCACATGGCAGACCGGAGCAGGGGACATGAAGGAGTGAGTGGGAGACAGCTGGGAGATACAGAGTGAGAGACTGAGGCAGTTGCCGGATCGCGGGAAGGGGCAGGCCAGGCCTCAGTGTGATGCATCCCACTCTGGGACCCTCCTAGAGGAACAAGGGAGGAGCAGGGCAGTGGCCTGCTGTTGGGTGGACCTGGATGTACCAAGTGCAAAGTGTCTGTCTGCGGGGTCCGACCTGCAGACCCTAACCCAGTGACAGATGAGAGACATACACTGACAGATATTTTGTCTGTCAGTGCGGCTAAGGGGCTTCTGCTCCTGAATCTGCAGCATCCGCCCTGATAAGCTAGCAAAGTTCACATTTATTTAGTACAGATTAAATGACAAAGGTCTTGAGTAAACACCACTAGAGGGAAATTAACACTGCTGACCCCCAGTAGAGAGCAATCATGCACCCGCAGATAAACAAAGGTTAGTCTTAGGACCACATGAGTAAACAAGCTATTTCGATAAACTCCCCAACATTCCCTTGTTATTTGCTCTTTTGGTATCAACTCAAGGTAAAGGGTTAAGCTGCTTTCAGTCAAATCTTTTACTAAAGCTATGCAAATCCCCCGGCCTTCCAAGAAGGTTTGCTTCTCCTTCCTATAATATCCTCTTAAAATTTTTCCCACCACCCTGACTGAATCCCACATCTGTCCTCTAGGGGAGACAAGGCAGTGGCTCTTGGGCCATCCTATTTACACAACAAGATCCTTTAGAGAGCACAAAAGCTTCAGATTCATACAGAGAGAGGCTACAAAGATAGCCAGAGCCAGCCTGTTAAAAGAATAAAAGGACAACTGACCCTTTAAAAATATTTCTCCTCCTTGTCATGAGAAATTGAAAGTCCCTCAGGAGAAATTTATTCCTTTGATTTTGCCTTTGTTCTTTCCTGAAATGCAACTTTCCCCAGGTGGGGAAAGTTTCAGATACAGTAAGTTACTCAGATTCTAGAAGGAACCAAATTATTATTTTTTCTTGTCTGGCTGGTTTCCAGTTGAACACCCTTTTGATCCAGGAAGGAATAATTACAGCTATGATGCTGATGGATATGGGAGTAGCAGCACAGCACCAAATCTGACTTTCATAGGATTTTTACTGTGGGCCAGGCACCAGGTAGGCGCCTGCCACAGATTCTCATCTCAAAGCTTATGAGGTACATATGCTCCCCAATGTGAAAATGAAGAACGGGAGTCCCAGCATTAGTGTGTGCCCAGGCTCCCAAGCCAGTGTGCCAGAGAGCCGGGGAGCCGGGATGCAAGCTCTGAAGCTTGAATCCAGAATACAGGCCGTGGTTTTGCGGGGTGGCTGGCCCTGAAGGGGCCCTTCAAGCCCGGGTTTGTGTGGCTCAGAGAATAAGAGGGAATCTGAAAGGAGAGGGAGAGACATGTACGCAGCAGCACAGCCCTTTTCACTGTGCTGCCTACATTTGCTACCCAGGAGTAACTGACTTACGGAGCAATTTGAAGTGAGGAGACACAGCCATAGCAAACACTGGTAGCCCTTACTGAGATTTTATTGCATCGTGAGTCCTCAGTAAATTCATAGTCACAATGACAGAGAGTTACATATTTATGTTCTCTTCTAAGGCGGGTTTCTCAACTTCAATGCTACTGGCATTTTGGGTTAAACAGTGCTTTGTTGTAGGAGGCTGTCCTGTGCATTATGGGATGTTTAGCACATCCCTGGCCTCTACCCATTAGATGTCAGGAACACCTACCCTCCCCCAACAACCAAAATTGTCTCCATACATTGTTGCGTACCCCCTAGGAGCAAAATCACCCCGGTTGAGAGCCCCTGATCTAAAGGCTGCCTGTGTGAATCCAGAGACTATGTAGATCCCTCAGCACTTTCCAGTCACAGCTGAGAAGACTCCAGTCGAAACAGCCCTCTTGGAGAACATGGAATCCAGGGCACTCTCAGGCATCACCTACTATCTTGGGCCATTGATCTCAGGGACCTGAGAGGTAGAGATAGATGATCTAGATCCCTGTGCCAAAGCAATACCCAGAGCTTGTTCTCTAGGCTTGTTCAAGAGTTAAATCAGGACTGAGAAGACATGCAATTGGCTACGTACAGATCTTTGTTAATGAGATTTCCGGCTTGCACCCAGAGGGCCTTTAGCCAAACTGTCTGCTTCTCGGATGGAAGCGCTGTAGCCTGGCACCATGGCTTAATGGGGTTGTTTGAAAGCTCTGTGTACGTAAACATAATTAGAATGTTTTCATCCCATGGCTTTGCTTAGCAACCTAATGGTATGTATCCAGGTTTGTCATGAAAACCTGAAGGAGTAGTTAACTTCATTAAGGAAGTCATTTTTCATAAGAGTATTAAACTTCAGAAAATCATTGTGCAGCCATCTTTAAGTAGCATTAATGATATTTCCCCAAGTAAAATGGCATCAAATTATCATAAATGGAAGTATGACAATTTTTATTTTCTTTTTCTTTCTTCTCTAATTTTTATAGAGTCTGTGTCCACTCAGAGGGTAGCACAGTTGAATGGTCCCAAACAACATTTAACTTGGCCCAACTTGGCTGCCAATCCAATCGGCATCCTAGAAACAGAAATTTTCTTTGGCCACAGATAAAAAATGACAGCATCTTTGAAAGCAGTTTGCCCTGCACAGTGCCTGTCCACAGGTGCCCAGCTGCGTGGGTGCCAGACATATGCAGACGAACCTGACCACAGAGAGTCACAGTTGACTCAGCAGTGCCAGGGTACCAGAATATCTTGATGACTGAGTGGCTTAGCTGCACTGCTAATTTGCATTTATGGTTGAATTTATTCACTATTAATTTGAATCCCTATGAACTATGGGGCTAGTGCTAGAAACTAGAGGTAGCCCCTGGATTCTTCTCTAGCTCTGCCTTTGTTGATCCAGCTTAGCTTCAGGCAAATCATTTTGTCTGTGAGTTTGATACAGTAATTTCTGCCCTAATGTGCCTCAATGAGTAATCTAAGAATGAGAGAAGATACTATCAAGCTGCTTTAATTTTTTTTTTTTAAGTTGCTATAGGAATGTAAGTACATGGATAGAACACTATTTTCTCATGCAAATATGCACATTGTATGCAAACCAGGTATAGCCCTCAGGGCTTCAACTTTCTACTGCAGTCACCAAAATGCTTGTGGCAGA